AACAAAAGAAAAGTTCCACTTCCCCTTTAAATAAAACAACATAAAATATATCTGTGTTTGGAGAAAAGACTTACAGTGAACCTATGTACAACAGAACGAAGCATTTATTGATACTGCACCATCCTTGCAATCAACTCTTCATTTGTTTAAGCCCATTATCCACCCACTGTGTCAATCTACCTTGGTGAGAGTCCACTTCTTCACTGACCCTTTACTTTACCAAGCTAGCTGTTCCCTCCTGATAATATGTCCAAAGTACATCAGATGAAGTTTCTCCATCCTTGCTTCTAAGAAATATTCTGGCTGTGCTTTTTCCAACATATCCATTTGATATTCCGGCAATCCATGGTATATTTAGTATTCTTCCCTAACACCAATATTCAAAGGCATTAGTTCTTGGATTTTCCTTATTCATTGTCCAAGTTTGATTGCCCATGAGGTGATTGAAGACACCATGGCTTGGGTCAGGTACACCTTAGTCTTCAAAGTGACATCTTTGCATTTTAGCATTTTAAAGAGATCTTTTATAGCAGATTTGTCCAATGTAATACATCATTTGATTTCCTGACAACTATTCCTTGGGCATTGATTTCAGACTCATATAAAATGAAATCCTTAACATCATCATTTATTTTTCTCTTTTTATTGTGATGTTGCTTATTGGTCTAGTCATGAGGATAATTGTTTTATATATGCAGATGTATAATCCATACAGAAGACTGGAGTCTTTGATGCTCATCAGTAAATGCTTCAGTACTCTTTGCTTTGCAAAGATTGTGTCACCTGCATATAGCAGGTTGTTAATAATGTCATTTTATGATGTCATATTCTTCTTCATATAGTCCATCTTCTTGGATCATTTGCTCAACATACAGATAGAGTAAGTACGATGAAAGGCTGCAATCCTGAAACACACCTTTCCTGACTGCAAACCACACCATATCCCATTAGAATAGATTCTAACAATTGACTCTTGGTCTATGTACATACAGGTCCTGAGTGAGCACAATTAAGTGTTCTGAAATTCACATTTTCAAATATTATTATTTATAATTTCTTATAATCCACATAGTAAAATGTCTTTGCACACTTAACTACCATATTGGTTTGAGCCACAAGGTCGCAGTCCTTGGTAATCCTATACAGGGTCGCTATAAGTCAGAACCAACTTAACGCACTTTAACAACAACAAAGCATCTTTCTGGTATTTTATGCTTTCATCCAGGACCCATTTGATATCAACCAAGATATCCCTCATTCTATGTCCTCTTCTGAATCCAACTTGAATTCCTAGCACTTTTCTGCTAATGTAGTGCTGCCATCATTTTTTAATTATCGTGAGCAAAAGTCTACTTTGGACCGATAGTAATGATATTGTTAAAACAATTCTGCATTCTATTGGATAACGTGTTTGAAATGAGTTTGTATATGAATCTCTTCCAGTTGGTTGATTAGGTTGCTGCTTTCCAATTTTTTGGCATCGATGAATGAGCACCTCTAGTGCTGCATCCATTCATTGGAGCATTGCAATTGGTATTCTGTCAATTCCTGGACCTTTTTTTTTTTTTCCCCAAAGCCTTCACCACAGCTTGGACTTAATGCCATCCATTCTTGATCATAAACAACTTCTTGAAATGATTGAATATTGAACAATTCTTTTTGGTATCCTGCTTGTGTGTTTCTTCCATCTTTTGATGTTTCTGAAATTGTGCAATATTTTCCCCATGTTGTTATTTTTGTTGCTCAGTCCCATCAGGTCAGTGCAAACTCACCACCACCCTATATAGTGTTTTTGAGGAGAGGATGGTGGTTCTGGAGCACTGACCTTGCAGTTAGCAGTCCAGTGCTTACCTTACAGCATCATACCAGTACTCCATTGTTGTTATTAAGCATCATCACATTGGTTCTTACTCACAGAGACCCTGTATATGGTTTCTGAGGAGAAGCTGGTGAGTTTGAACTGCTGACCATGTGATTCTCAGTTCAGTGATGATCCTACAGAGCCACACCAGGAGTCTAGTACTTCATTAGAATCATTCACATTGCAGCTTGAGACTTGAATGATTTTCTTCAGTTTCTCAAGCTTGAGAAACACTGGGTGTGTGCCTCCTTTTTGATTTCTAAGGCCAAGTCTTTATACATCATTATAATGTTTTACTTTGTTTGCTCTAGTCACCGCTTGAAATTTGTTCAGTTCTTTTATTCATCTTTCTTCCTTTCGTCTTACCGCTTCTATATTCTAGAGCAGTTTCAGAGACTGTTTTGACATCCACTCAGATGTTTCATTCTTTCCTATCTTTTTAACGAACTGGTTTCTTCATGTATGATGTGCTTGATGTCATCCTACAAATCATCTTATCTTTGGTCATTAGTGTTCAGTGTGTCTAATCTAGGGATATATATATATATATATAATGTTTTTAAATGTCATAGGTTTGTTCCAACCTATCATGAGGATTTCTGAGGAGTGATTGGTGGGTTTCAATCGTCCACCACGTGGTTAGCCGTATAGTGCTTACCCTACAGCACCATACCAAGTAAAATTTTCCTTTTGTTCCTGTATTGTTTACTTTTATATTTCTTCTGTGATTTTATAGCACTGTAAGAATAGATACCTAAATATTTATATTTTGTCTTTACTTTTAATAAACATTACCTAATTTGTGGCTTCATCCATGTTAAGGAAAGCTTTAGCATGGACGAAGCCTAGTGTTGCAGTGGGATAAACACTGACCTGATAACTGAGAGGTAGGAAGTTTGATCCCATCAGCTCCTCCCATAAAGATTTATAGCCTTAGGAACCTCAGGGTACAGTTGTACTCTGTCCTCCAGGGTGGTTATTTACCATAAATAGGAATGTTGTTATCGTTTTAGGTACTGTGAAGTCCATTACAACTCATAATGACACGATATAGTGTTTCTGAAGAGCACCTGGTGAGTTTGAACCACTAACCTTGTGGTTAATAGTCCAGTGCTTATCCTACAGTACCACACCAGGACTCCACTGATGAGAATCGATTCTGTCTTTATAAATATCTTGTTCATATATGGTGTTCATGGTTCACATCCCTCCAGGAATCCTGAGAATGTCAGAGTAGTCAAGTTTTAGGGAATGAGGATTTTTTGAGAGGTCACCTTCAATAACTGTTGTCAAGAAGAAAGTCCCTGTGAAAGACTAAACTGATCTCTGAAGTTCATCCTCTAATTTGGTTGAATCAGAATTCCCCAAACTTCAAGGTCTACTAAATAGTGGTTTGGAACAGGGAAGGATAAAATAGAGGTTTTGGAGGAGGAAATACAAATGTCCATTTCCCAATCTGTAACCAAAACTCTGAGTTAAGAATTACAGAAGGAAAATCTAAGCAAGAACTTCAAAGAGGTACTACTATAAATCTGCAGAATTAGAAAAGATGATGAATTCTTTTTCTACCCAAGCCCACTAAAACTTCATGTTTCAAGCAAGTAAAATGAACAGACACCAGCGGGTCCTGGAACAACGTCTAGCAACCTAATTGCATCTCAATAGATTTAAAAAAAAAAAGAAAAAAAAAAAAGTGGGTGGATGGATCTAAAAAGTTTTCAAAAAGAAATTCCTAAAAGTGTCCTCAATATTAATAAATCATTACCAGCACTTATATAATGAAATATAAAAGTCAGCTGGAATCCAGGTATTTGGTGGCTGAATATAGAAGCTCAAGATAAATTATAGTTTTTTTTATGATGTCTTCCATGATTTGGTTATGCATGCAAACACTTTGCTAGCAGTTCAATCATCTGGACAATGTTGAAAAATTATTTCCAAAATGAAGGCACACTGTTCAATAAATAATAAATAGACTCAATACCAGATAAGCACCTTTGGATTCTAAAGGCAACATGTATATGTTCAAATTAGTTGTTCTTTACTCATGTACTGAGTAATCTGCCACTTAGCAGTGAAACCCTACTGATCATTTAATAATAAGAATAAAATATGCTCCTTTGTCTTGTGGTACATCCCAAAAGCTAAAAAAATGATATAAATCTTGGTAATGAGAAGGTCATGTTATTGATCCAGAACATAGCTTTATCTTTACCATCATGTCACCTTTATTTTGAAGATTGATGAGCTGAGGAGACTAACTGGCATTCACAGGATAGGTCAAGTAGTCTACATGATTACTGAGAGCTTCCTGTGCACAGGATAATTTCAATGAGCATTTACATAGAACACTAATGTCCTCACACTATCCACTATAAATGGAATTTGGTGTGTTCATTGGGAAGGTGAGAATTGGGTAGACTAGAGGGACTATGGGAGTGAAACATATTCTCACCTTTGGAGGAAAAGTATTCCAGGCAGAGGAATCTGTGAAAGCCAACTCCTTAAGCAAGATGATTTCTGAGTTGTTGAAAGCTAAGTTCAGTGAGTGTAGAGCTCAGTTAGTGGGAGGACAGAGTCATCACAGATGGTGTAAGAAAAACAACAGGGAAAATCTGCATGAGCTGGAGTCCAGAAGGTCACCAAAAGAAGTTTCCATTTATTCTGTGAGAACGAGAATGTATTGTGTTTTAGCAGAGGAGAAGCAAGCTTCACATTTTTAAAAAGATCATTTTGTCTACTAGCTTGAGAATAGACTGCAGGTGAGCAAGTATAAAATTGGGTGATCTTTCCAGAGGGATTTGCAGTGGTCCAGGGGAAGGATCATGTTGGCTCACAGCGGAAGACACTGAGAACTAGAGACAGTGAGAATTGCTTAGAAGTGCATATATGAGGACTTCAAAAAGTTGGGGAAAAATTCCAGTATCTTTTAATCTCATTTTTCCATGAATTTATTTGAGGCCAGAGATTATTTGTTCCACTTCTAGTTGCATCAAAGTGCTATAATCCCATTCCATTTTTTGTTTAGCAGATAAAGTTTAAATGTGAAAAGATATCTGTAATCTGCCCTTGCTTATTTCTGATAAAAAACAACAACAGCAACATAGAGCGAAGGATATATGCGCATGCAAATCCTCACCCTTTCATGTTATGGCCTTCAACAAGAAACAGGTGTCTTTGAATTGAATACACATCTATAGCCCCAAAGGGGGTATTTTTTGTTTGGGGCTTTGTCACTGTGGGAGGCTGACTGAAGTGTTGCTGGCAGTAATACATTCCAGTGTCTTCATCATGCACTCCATGGATGGTGAGAGAGAAATCTTGGCCAGAACCACTTCCTTGGAACCTGTCAGGGGTTCCAGCTGCCAGGGCAGAAGCCCCAAAGAAAAGCAGTCTGGGAGACTCTTTGTGTTTCTGTTGGTACCAGGCCATCGAGGTTCCAACTCCTGAGCTGGTTCTGCAGGTGATGGACACAAAGGCACCTTGAATGGTTACCAAGGTCTCTGGAACCTGAGCCAAAATGATGTGTCCCATGCAGGCTGCAAAAAAACATTCATATAACACAATTTACAATTTTAATCAGAAGCATAGAAGAAACTTACTTTGTATCTTAGTAGAAATAGACTGTGTTTAAATAGAAAAGGAATGAAGTACCCTATGTTCTTAAGGAGCTCAGGTAGCATAGAAGTAACGAGTCAGGTTGCTAACCTCAAGGTCTGCAGTTCAAAACTACCAGTGGTTCTGTGGGAGAAGGATAAGGCTTGCTGCTCCCGTAAAGATTTACAGCCTCAGAAACCCTAGGGAGGGTCGCTATGAGTTGAAACCGAGTCCATGGTACACCACAACCACCACCACCGCCATGGTCTTTACTCCTTTGTCTGTGAACTAGAATGCAGGTACAAAAGGATGTCAAGGCATCTTCAAGAACAGTACAGGTTCTGAAAGTAGTCATGTCATTACACAGTCCATCCTGAGGGATGGCCATCTGTGTCTCTATCTCATTGTTATCTCTGAACTGTAGCTAAGTTATCTAATGATGGCTAAGTCAAAAACAATTCCATATATTGCACAGTCATTTAGAAAGCAAATTGAGTGCAGTATCTCTGTAATGAGACCTTACTCTGAGTATAGTTCATGATCTGTATACGGATATGTGCTTACCCTGTGATCCAATCACCAGCAGGCACAGAAGTTGGGCCCACAAGATCATCTTGGAGCATACACAGAATCTTCTTCTTCTTTGTCAAAGACAAGTAAGACAGGGGTTGGAAAGGTAGCTATTAGGCAGCTCTAGAATGAGAGTCTATCCCTCTGAGGTTAAATATAGGCCACACTGTGAGGTATCAATTTGCATGTCTGGTGACCTGAAACAGAGACTGCCCCCAGGGACCTCACAAGGCTGACAGTCTTAATCTTCTTGCAGTTTTCTGATTGCAAGTCCTGAGGGACATGAGCTTCATTTTAACCCATTGAACTGTTTTCTGATTCTGGACTCCAGAATTGTGAGACTATACATTTAAGTTGCTTTAAACCACAAAGCTTGTGGTGTTATATTACAGCAATAGCAAACTGATCCTAACGAGGCTTAGGGAAGCTCCAGACTAAAAGTGTGATGGTGATTTTTCATCTTCTTGATTTCCTTTCTAATGTCATATGTAAATGGAATAGTTATGGCTTTTTTTTTTTATGTAGAAAAATGTGCATGGAATACTATATAGTGAGGCAGCTGTTTATTTTCAGAATCAACATTGATGACTCTCGTTGAAATTGATATCTGGGTAGTATTATTTTACAGGACATCCTTATTCTAGGGTATCCAGAGTTACATAAGTACAATTACATAAGTGCAATTAAAATAAATATGACAGTAATTAAAAATAAATTAATATCAGCTTCCTACTCACATATGCATGGGTTTATTCTAAACAAAACATGTTCAACTATGTCTTTACCAATAACATATGGCTACGGACATGGTCTCTCAGTAATAGACTTGGCCTTCAAGACAGAGTCCAATAAAAATAGTGGCTTCCAGGGGATTTGCTATACCAGTAAATTCATGGGAGGGAATTAAACTGAGAAGGTTATGGTAAATAGATTTTTTTTTGGGATTCCAAAGGAGCTCTGGTAGCATAGTGGTTATGAATTGGGTTGCTAACTGCCAAGGTCAGCAGTTCGAAACTACCAGCTGTTCTGTGAGAGAAAGATGAGGCTGTCTGCTCCCATAAAGATTTATAGCCTCAGATTCCCTGTACATGGTCACTATGAGTCAGAACCAACTCCATGGCACATAAAAACAGTAACAATCTGCATAGACTTTTACCAAAGACACAAGATAATCACAGGAGTGTACTACACAGAAGTTGCAAGAGAATTTAAAACTGCATTAGTGTGAAAAAAGACAGCAAAATTGTGACAAGAAATGTTTCCAACATGACAAGTGAACCATGACTGTAGAAAGGAAAACAGAGAAGTAGCCTGTCCTTAGGAGAGCTGTGGTTAGAAGCAGATTTAATAGTACACAGAAAAATATTTGCAAAAATAACTTGCCTGGGCATATTCTTAATGATTTCCTGAAAAGAGTTGGTCAGAAGGACTTAAATTAACTAGCCAACCATAATATCTTTACTGTTAACAACTAAGACAGCCACCCCTTGGATTCATGTTCTCCACATGCCAGATGGCTCTGAGAATGCACTTCTGCTTTAATAGCGCCTTTGCTTTACTTTCGCAGAATTGGTTTATGTTTTCCCCTAAGACAGGCTGAATGAATAGATCCTGAAAAAATGGTGTCACTTCAGAAAGAAGTCCTTGACAACTTCAATCTTTTCTCCATTGATAAGAATGTCATTTATTGGTACAGAATGGTCACTGCCCTGAAACTCCAACCAAGGAGCAAATAATGTTCTTGGATTTTCTTTAAAATTTAGATAACATCATTTAACTGCATAAGTCCCTGGGTGGTACACGTAGTTTGCACTCACCTGCTGAAGGCTAGAGGTTAGAAACCATTTTTTAGCACCATGGTTTCTGCTTTCATAAATATACAAAAATAAGCAAAATAATTAAATTTACAAAAATCCTGCCAAAAAAATCCTACGGAGCAGATCTACTTTGTGAAACATGAGATTTGAATGAACTCAACTGTAATGGATTCAAATTTTGTCTGTAGTTTACTTGCATCAAATTGGGAAAAATAAACTGAGAATTGCATAATGTGATGATACTTCCACACTAAACAACTTAAGAATCTAAAAAAAAAAAAAATGCTTGTATAAGTTTTAAATAAGGAAACGTGAAAGACCAAATTAAATCACTTGAACTGAATTCTCATACTAGGTGATTTTTTCTTTTCATCATTTCATCTCAATTTAACAAAAATGGAAAATTCAGAAGAGAAAAGAGTCAAGAACTCAGTGAATTATTTAGTGTATGTTCCATGTTCTATAACGATAAAAATAGAATCCTTCATCAGTAAGTAGAATCAAAGATTTTAGGAAGCAGCATTGTTACAGTAGTAAATCACCTCTGGTGGTGGTGGTTATGTGCCATGGAGTCAGTTTTGACTCATAGCGACCCTGTACAGGGTTTCTGAGGCTGTAAATCTTTACGGGAGCAGAAAGCCTCATCTTTCTCCTGCAGAACAGCTGGTAGTTTTGAACTACTGACCTTGTGGTTCACAGCTCAATTAGTAACCACTATGCTACCAGAGCTACTTAAATCACCTGTAGCTACCCAAAAAAATTTTTTTTTGGTCCTAAGTCAATGAGAAACCAAATTTACATATCCTTAAAGCATCAACTGTCTTTAGCTTTCAGTACTCCAAGAAATGTCTGTATTCATTGCTCTATAACCTGCTTTGGCCCAGCAGAGATCGAAGGATCAATAATTAATAAAATAAGAAAAAATAAACTTTCAACTCCCTGGGTCAGTTAGGAGATAAAATGAAAACGTTTAGCAAAGTAGTAGAGCCTACAATATCTTATTGAAAAATTACTTAAGCATATTTTACTCATTTTTCTTATCTTTGCCCAGGAAGTTAGGAACCTTGTCAACCCAGAGACTGATTTTCTTATATTCTGTTCTCCTAACAGTCCTATACAGGGTCGCTATGGGTCGGAACCGACTCGATGGCACTTAACAACAATAACAACAACAGTCCTAGGTGAAATCTGGAACTGATTGCAAAGACATATGAATATTCACTCCCAGGAAATCAGATTACACCAGTATCCTTTATTTAAGCTAAAATAAGGGGCAATCTTGATTATTTGTAAGATTTAAAGTGAAAATTTGGTTATTATCAGTCGTGGTGTGGCACTGTAGTGTAAGCACTGGACCACAAGGTCACTTTTGAATCACAAGGTCAGCAGTTCAAACTCACCAGCCCATCTTCAGAAACTTTATAAAGAGTGGCTATGAACCAGAACCAGCTCAACGGTACTTAACATTAAACAACAATTTGTTTGTTATTAGTCTTCTTATGTGTGTCTCTAATTCTGGCTAAATTCTCAATGTCTAACTGAGCAAAATGCAGAGGCAGAAGGATTAGCAAGGGGTCTCAATCAGCTTTACCTGCAGCACGTCTGGTTTTGCCTAGAGGCACTTGGGCCTCCTCCATTCTCCATGCTGGCTCTGCCATTTCAAGATTGGTGCAGGTGACAGAGCCATAATGGTGTGATACCTGATCTATAGACAGGGCTTTGAACAGGTTCATTCTGATACCACCATCCCTGACCCTGCTGAAAAGTACTGATTCTATTGTTGTTGTTGTTAGCTGCCATTGAGTCGGTACCCATTCATAGCAACCCTTTGCAAAACAGCAAAATACTGCCCAATCCAGGACCAACCTCACAATTGGTGTCACGCTTGAGCCCATTCATTGATGCTGCCACTTTGCCAATCCATCTTGCTGGGAGTCTTCCTCTTTTTCTCTGAACCTCCACCTTACCAAACATGATATCCTTCTCCAGTGACTGGTCCCTTCTAACATTTTGTCTAGTATGAGAGACGAAGTTTGGCCATCCTGGCCTTCAAGGAGCACTCTGGCTGCACTTCTTCCAAAACAGATCTGTTGGTTTTTTTGGCAGCCCATGGCATGACACTTTTAATAATTGCATCCAACACCATAACTCAAAAGCATCAATTCTTTTATGATCTTCCTTATTTACTGTCCATCAGGTTACTGAAAATACCATAGCTTGGATTAGGCACACCTTATTCCTCAAACTGACATGTTTGCTCTTCAACACTTGAAAAAGGTTTTGTGCAGTAGATTTGCCTAAAGCAATACATCGTTTGATTTCTTGGCTGCTGCTTCCATGAGTGTTGATAGTTGATTCAAGAAGAATGAAGTCCTTGCCAACTTTAATCTTTTCTCCGTTGACGAGGATGTTGTTTATTGGTCCAGTTGTGAGGATTTTTGGTTTTGTTTTCTACATTGAGATACAATCCATAAAGAAGGCTGTATTCTTTGATCTTCATCATTAAGTATTTTAAGTCCTCTTCACTTTCAGCAAGCAAGGTTGTATCATCTGCATATCACAGTTTGTTAATGAGTCTTCCTCCAATCCTGATGCCACATTTTTCGTTATATAGCCTAGCTTCTCAGATTATTTGCTCAGCATACAGGTTGAATAAGTATGGTGAAAGAACACAACCCTGTCACACACCTTTCTTTATTTTAAACCATTCAGTGTTCCCTTGTTCTGTTTGAACAACTCCCTCTTGGTCTGTGTACAGATTTCTCATGAACACAATTAAGTGTACCGGAATACTCAGACTTTGCAATGTTGTCCATAGCTTGTCAAGATCCATACAATTGAAAGTCTTTGTGTATTCAATAAAGCACAGGTAAACATCTTTCTGGTATTCCCTACTTTCAGCCAAGATCCATGAGACATCAGCAATAATATTAGACTGATAGAAATTAACTGAGGATCATTCTGAAATATAGATTCTGATTCAGTACATCTGGGCTGGAAATGGAAATTTTCAGCAGGAGCTTTAACTGAAGAACCAGTCTGTAGCTGAGGTGCATTCCATTGAGTTCTCCAGCACTTCCTCTCATGGAGACTCAGAGAATCTGCCCTGCCTCTGCCCTAAATAAGCCATACATGGTGGATAGGCCCCACCAGGCAGGTGTTTGTGCAGGCCTGTATCACTGTGGGAGAAGTTGTGTATGTTGCTTGCAGTAATAAACTGCTGCATCCTCAGCTGCCACTCTACTGATTTTAAGACTGAAATCTGATACTGCCCCACTACCACTGAACCTGTCTGGGACCCCAGAAAAAAGGTTAGAAACCCGATAGATCAGAAGCTGTGGTGCCTTGCCTGACTTCTGCTGGTACCATTCTAAGTAGGTATCCCCATTACTATGTAGGAGACTCTGACTAGACTTGCAGGAGATGGTGGCTGGCTCTCCAAGAGTAACAGACAGGGTGGATGGAGTCTGAGTCATCACAATATCCCCACTGGATTCTAAAATAATGAAAGAAAAGTACAAGGTTAGATTTAAAAAGTTTAAGAACTATTTTCATGATTCCCTTCTGTTATTTTGTTTAGGTTAAATCCTTTTCCATGAGGTTTTTATTCATACTCCAAAATTCACAATTAAAAAAAAACAAAAAGAAAACCCTAAATTTTGCACCTTTCTTTGTTCAAATCTTTATCAAAGAGGGGATCCCTCTTACTCTTGTATTCTCCTCAGTGTCACAGATCTAAACATTACATGCCTGCTCTAGGTGTGACATGCATGTCTAACATGAGAACAGAATAAATCAGGTACCATGAGTGCCCCAGGCCTCACCCTGTCCACCCCCTTTTACTTCTCATCTCCCCTCTGTGTTCACCAGGAATCCAGAGCATAAAGAGCCCCAGGAGTGAGCAGAAAAACCCATTTTGAGAAGTTGAACAGATGAGTCCTGATAAGTAATGAGAAGAGCAGAGTTGATCTTTTATCTCAAACTGCAAGGTCTCCCTAGGGAACAATATGCAAATCCCATGGAGGGTGCAGCAGTGTGAAGAGAGGCCAGGCAAGGGTGGGCCTCTTCTGTGAATAAGTAACAGTGTCTTTTGTGTTTAGAGGAAAACCAACAGAGATAAGGTTGGTACTGTGTGCAGTAGTGGTCACTGTGCACTGTTAAAGGCTGTATTCATGGCAAGGTGACAATGCATATGGCCCTAACTTCATAGGAAAGCATCAGAAACCCTGAAGATGTAGAAATGGGGGTCTAGGTCCAGTTCTGGGACATTTAATGGCTATCCTAGTTGGTTCCCTCTTAGTGAATCTAGAAGAGGAAATCACTCATACACCCAATGTGCTGATTCACAGAATCTCTTCAAATCCTGGGACGGACTTAAAATCATTCAAGATGATTTGGCATCTGCAGATAGTAGATTAATTGTTAAAGAATATTACATGCAAATGTTGTAAATGTTCATTTCCTGGGTCTTAGTGAATTAACTCCTTAAGTGCATTCAAGGCAAAAAAGCTTCATGGGGAAGAAAGAAAAATTGTCCATTTTAGATTAAAAGTTTATAGCTCCATTTAAAGCAAGGGGAATAGAGAAAATCATGTTTAGGCTTCAGGTAGTGAATATGATATCCTTTTAAATCAGTTGTTAAAATCAATGTACGAGAATAAGTTAAAAAAACTTTTTAATAGGATTCCAATTCATACATGCATAGATTTATTCCAAACAAAATATGAGTGTCCCTTCAGACTCCTTGTTGTTCAAAAAATTCAAAGAGTTAAATATTTCAAAGGAACAGAGTTTGAATCCCTTGGGAATAATAATAAAATAATAAAGAAATGTGGCTTTGATGTGATGTAAATCAAAGAGCACATGAGGTGCTCTAGAAGTGTTTAGATCTAGATGGAGGATCTATTGAAAATCAATAGCTTCACATTTTGACATTTTTGTTTCATGTGTCTATAATTATATAGAAGTCATTATGTACTTACCTTCACATATCCTATTTCCTTCACTCTACATACACTCACACGTTCATTGGATCAATGAGATCGAATCCTGTCATATTTTCCTTTCTCATAAATTAATTTTGAAAATTTTAACTGTGCAAAGTATTCTTTTTGTTTGTTTCTTTAATATTTTATTGTGAATTATGTGACAGTTTACATGGGAGAACATTAGTTTTATATTAATTCTATCATATATCATTTCATTGCCATGGTTACAATCCCTTCCATGCATCACCAATCAACCACAGGGTATATCCTGCAAGCCTGCCCACTGGTCATCAGCACACAGCCGCTCTCCCTCTCTGGGTCTAAAGTCCCAGCTGCACCATCTTTCCACGTTATCATCTCTGACTCCATCTCTGACATCACTGCTTGTACGGTCCCGCTCTCCACTCTTCTCCCTTGATGGTCCCAGGGACCTCCACTCCTAGACTGCAAAGTTAATCACTCCCCTCCTTGCTACAAAACATCTACCTTTACATTTCCAACCCTCACAGTCAGTCCTGATATTCACTATTGTATCACAAGAGACCTATCCGCATTTCCTTTCATCAGCACCACCTAGACAGATTGGATACTACTCAGTGGAGATTCTACCTTCCTCCATGCCCTCTGGATCTATGTCCCCTCTTGAAAGCTTGTAAACCAGTCACTTCTTGCCTTTGGAGCTCCCCACCCCCCATTTTGGTTAGCCAATGTCCAAGTTGTGCATCTCTGTCTACTCTGTGTATGGAGGGGGCAACGTATTCTTGAAACCTTAAAACCCCAGAGATTGTTAATGTGCACTCACACTAATGCCAGCTCACTGCCCTAGTCGCCCGTGGCATGCACTCCAGTGAAACAGCCCCACCTCTGATCTGCTACCCTGGTGACTGACAGTGTGTTCTCTCACCCAACCACTGCCTCACTCTATTGATAGATTGCACAGTATGTGCCCCAGCCTTCCTTTGACTTCCTGCCACTGCCCATTGTCTCAACAACCAGCAGTGTATGCCCTTGTGCTGCCAGGCTGGGGACTGCATTTCCTGAGCCCATGTCAACTCAGCAATCAGCCATGAGCTGCCATGATGTCAGCCAGCAAAAAGGGACACCCACTACGATATCACTCAACCTCCCTGGATGTCCCACTCCCACCCAATGACTAGTGGCGGCCTTCCTGAGCTGCCTGCCTAGCTACTGATGGTGCAAGTCCCCTCCCCTGACCCTCCTGTCTTGATAACTAGTAGTGCAAGCAGTTGTGCCGCCTCTGTACAGGGTCGCTATGGGTCGGAACTGACTCAACGGCACTTAACAACAACAACAATCCATAGAGCAGACTAGTAACCCCGAAATCATCACCCTGACCTCCTGGACACCACTGAAGTACACTCACAGTGTCCATAACCCAGTGAATGGCAAGAGCCTGCCCAGCATTCAAGTATGGTACCCAGACTGCCAGGTACATCACTTCAAAAGCAACAGCTGTCACATCTCTACAACTGTCAGCTCTGCCTTACAATGAGCAGATCATAGTGCATTCATCTAACATCTTCTTGGCTGCATGCCAAACATTCCACATCCAGATAGCTTGGGTGGGACTGCACATGTACTGAAGTCCCTTCACCGAACCTTCTAAGAAGACACACATTTGAACACACAGAAATGGCCTATCTCATCTATTTGAGAAATACTTACCCACATCAACAATGGAAATGTCCTGTCTTAAAAGGGCAAACTAACTGCTAGCATTAACTTGGAAGGAAGAAAGGTCCCACCAAGGTTGTAGAAGCAAGGTGATCACCTAACATTTGTCACCACAAATCAGGGAATGAACCTGCATTACTACAGCCCTCAATGACATAATTACTCACCTTAATTACTCAGTTGTTGTTGTTGTTAGGTGCCATCCAGTCTGTAATGACTCATAGCGACCCAATGCACAACAAAATAGCTAGTCATATAAAGAAACAGGAATAGATGGCTCTAAAAGGTGAGTAAAATAAATGGCAGGGATTTACCTGATAAAAACTGTGTGACAAGGAATTTCAAACACATACATATGAGATCCTCATAGAGATCAAAGGAAACACACAATACAGATGAAATCCAAGAACATTTCTGGGAAACAAGAAGAACAAAATGCTTACTCTACAGTGCCACACCAGGACTGAAAACAGGCAAATATTCACCATAAATTTTCCAAATAATCAATGTTGGCCCTTATTTTATCTTAAAAAAAGAATGCTGGTGGCAGGGAACAAACAAGATGGCAGATCGGGTGGAAGTTCCACCAGCAACAACACAGAATACCCGACTAAGGAGGCTCAAGTCTGGTCCCAGAACTCTGAACAACATATAAAGGAATATTTAGAAGGTTGGAAGGCTTACAGCTGGGGGAATTTGTGGCAGAAGCAAGAAATCTATTGCTTTCTAGTCCGGGATGCTCACCTGCTCCAGACACCACCATCTTGGGTGAGACAAAGCAAGGAAGAATAGAAGCGGCCACAGACACCTGGCATTACCGCAGAGATAAAGATGTGGACAGTCTTTTCTCTTGGTAGCTGTTCATTGGTCCCTTGCTGTCTGCACAGCTCCATTCTGGTGACAATAGAGCCGCCTGAGCTAGTGGACACCCCAGCCCCACCCTCGGAGGGTTCTACTACGCATGCGCACAGATCTCCTTGAAATTTAAAGAGACAGTTTCCAATTAAAACCAAATGGCCACAGTCGGCGCTGAACTGTTTACAACTAGAAAAAAGGCCTGAACAGGGATTGTGGAGTGGGACAAGCAGACGAAAAAGGTAATAAGATGAAATTAAATCCTTAGTTACATCAAAACACCAACAGTGGCATCTTGAAATTTCTCAAGAAGAAGAGTGAAAAAGGAAGTCCATTTCTTGCTCACATCTACCTGGAGGCAATCATCAGAAAGCATACCAAATACCAAAATACAAAATACCAAAATACATACCCATCTAAGTATCAAAGCCACAGATAACTCCTGAAGATGCCCAAAAAACAGAAGCAGATGACCATATCTGCACATAACCAGAAATGAGATCAAGTAACTGAAGCAAATGAGCTGGAAGTAAACCTACACTTCATACTGGAAGATAAGCAGGCTTTGGAAATGCCTGAGAAGGAATTCAGAAAAATGATTATAAAATGTATCAAAACACTAT